TGATGTTCCCTCTGATGATGGTCTATAGGGACGGAAATATGTTAGGGCGCTAAAACGTGAAGTAGTAAAAGCTTCAACAGTCACACTGGACGGAATTGTTTTATCATTTGTAATAACAAAACTGAAGAAGCGTTGAGTTCACTCCCCTTTAAAAATTTATACCTGTTTAAAACTGTAATTACTAAACTTTAAGAAAATTCGAGAGGAAACTTCCCTAGCACAGCGGGTTACAGTTTCCAGAGCAATTATTTGAACACACAAAATATGTTGCACAGTTGGGGTCCCTTCTTTGACCAAGACCGCCTGAAGAAAGAACGCATCCTACAAATTTATACTAATCGCATTCTGAAACAAACCCAATAAATAGCTTGATTAATAATGTAATAATATGTACGACTACATGGGATTTACTCACTAGAAATAATATTCAATATTATTGGATTTATGAGCGTGTTCCTTTTTATTGCATGAATATTGAATTTCTTTTTAACGCTTCATCAAAACTGAACAATAACAGAACACTCTCTTGGATATATAACATACACGTCGTACAGTTTGTGTTTAATTTAATTTCCTGAACTGTACAGACAACAATGGAGGCAATTCATGCTCCAGTGAGTAATTAGGATGTGGTTAGTCTTGCGTCCAATTAGCTTTGGTAACAATAACGCGCAAACTCCACACGTGGATGGACTCGGACGTCACGACATCAATTACGCATTACCCTTAAACACAATTTGTCTCTGCTGATCGAAGGGGTTTGTTACAATTCTGATAGCACAGCTCTGTGGGTGTGTTGGGTCTCTACTAAGTAAATCATGTACATTGAAACTTGTTCGTAACTCAATATTTGTCCTAATTCAGAAATACACTATGTCATGAATATAGTGGATTTTATAGCGAAGTGGAGTGTTTACTAGTACCAGAAAGCGAAGTGCAATCACATAACAAATGTTTGTGATGAATTCATCAGTGGATATTCCAATTCGCTGGACAAGAGATTTCAGAATTTCTCCTCACTCTATGAGCTGAGCGTATTGGATATATCAAAGATACGGACATACAGGCTACAGTATTCTCCATAATTAACTGCAGCTACGAACATAATTCTCGTTTCATTTACGAAAATTTTGAATAGAAAATGTTTACATATCAGTTGCACAGCACTGTTGAACAGGTCCTAAAAAGGAACTAAGGATTAAAAGAGATGAGGCGAAAATAATGCAAGAACTGTTGAGCTACAGAAACAGCCGTTGCTAAGTAATACACGCATGCAACAACAGAGCAACCTGTGTTTTCTATGCTGTCGGTGCCACTCAACAGTAAAGAGCTGTTTTTTCTGTGAGTGGTCTGTGCGAAGGCTACAAGGCGAAGTCCGCTTGTAGCTAGTTCAGTTGAATTAGACTAGAGAGTTGAAGTCACCCACGAAAAGTTAGTAGTTGAAGAAGAATTAGAAGTCAACCTGTGAAGACTGTGAACTGAAGACTGTAGTACAGTAATGCTGGAGTGTGAGAATTAGTGAGACCTAGAGTTCCTGTGCTACAGATCCCTTGCCAGGAAAAGGATAGTGAAAACCAGTGGAAACAGACTGAGGAGATTAGCGTGGAGTGATTTGTAGTGTGAAAATCAGTAACAGTTTTATACTTGTTTGCAGTTACGACCTGTGAACGGTTAATAAATCGATTCAGCAATTCAAACCCCGTCTTCAGTCTCTAACACGTGTGTCAGTATAAATATTTTTGTATGTATATTACAACAAATAAATGTAATATACTGACTCCGAAATATTAAAATAATGGTACTCAGAATTTTCATAAGTGACCAGTTTCCACAAAATCTCATCTTCTATTGGAGCCAACATATTCCCTAGATGTATTGTGACTTTCATGTTCCAATTCTATTCGGGGCCATCCAAAGGGGTTGCAGAATGTTGGCAGTTTGTGAAGTATAACTTATTATTCCGAGAGGGACCTCACGGACTTCATCGAAGATACAAAATAATGTATAAAATTGGGTGTAGATATTGTTACACGTAAACCCACTGCTAGGTAGCGTGTTGGTAAACAAGTTCCGCGAAGACAGATTCTTGGTAAACAGTCCGTTGCTAGGTTACGCAACGATAAATGAGGTTGTGTTTTCTATACGGTTTGCGCCAAGCAACAGTTGAATAACGGGGTTATGCAATTCTTTCTAAGCAACGGCTGAGTATGCATATATCCGCGTATCGGACCGTGATATGAAAGCGGTGACGTCATCAACAATAGAGACGGTGTTTTCCGTGGGGTCTGTGCAGAGTGCTTATAAGAGAAGGGAGTGACAGAATTCGTTCGGGGCAGTTACGAATCGGTCATAAGCCGGAGGAGTGAGTCCAGAAGAATTTTTAGTTTCAAGGTACCAGAGCGACTGAAGGCGAAATAACAAGAAGACTTCATAGTGAGTTGAAGTGCTGAGATCCATTGCTAGGAGACGACTAGTGAAGACGGAGAATCCTAGTGCGTGTGCAACGGTGAACGGGGAAGTGTGTAAATTAGCGATAGCGCTGTATTTAAGTGTGATTACGAGAACTTGTAACCAAGGTGCTAATAAATCCAATCATCCTATCTAGAACCCGTTATTTTCGTCACGCGTGCCTCCCTACTCTAATCTACGTTACATAATTGAGTTATTTACGAATAATGTAAAAAATAGGATCAATGATCGAAAGCTCATTTTACACCTATTTCGAAAGAAGAGCCCCTTCTCGGAAAGCAACAGATGCTGAGCTCCGCAAGGAATCCCACGCATTTTATGGAACCTGATGTTCAACACCTTATTCACCGGAAGCCACTATTAGTCCCTCGCATGAGCCACATGAACACCCTCCCCACCATAACAGCAAGATGTTTTAAAACAGTTTATATTAAGGTACAGTCCCCTTGAAAATCCAGTAGCAGTTTATTGTGCATTTCGAAGTATGGGATGAAAATAACAATTTAATTTCTTATAAAAGAACTTCCGCTGAAAACGGTAATTGAATATGGACATATCTCGCATTTTTATATTCAGAAAATTTCTGGGAATGCGAGACGAAATTAGAGTGTTCTGTTCAGGTGGTCGTTCATAACTACGTCATAAAATTGCGTTTCAAAATTCGTTTTCGACAGTTACTGCTTTGATCTTGCGATCAATTTTACATAGCGCATTTAATGTTTGATTAGAAAGCCAGGGAACCATAGGATTCAGGGTAACATTTTAATCTCTGGCTTGTGCGTGTAACAAGAACCTGTATGTATGTTATTTTAATGAAAGTATGGAATATTTATACATCGAAGCTTAAACGATCTCATCACTGATTCTTAAAGAACAGATACCTTCATACTAATTCTACAGCAATAAAGAGAATGAAGGCCTGCCAATGGAAGCAACGGATACTATTGCGAAGCCGTTACTTATTAATGAAAAAAGTCGGCAGTATTTCATAGCGAGCACATGTTACTGCCTTCGAAATTCCTGGTGTAAAAATGTGAAATGCACATTGCGTTACGTGTACATATGAAATAGGCCTAAGATATATGTATGTTCCAAACAGTTTTGTGTAGTATTAACCCTCTGAACTTATAGTGGGCGTACTAGATAGCCTCACAGGGAATCTTCAAGGTTATGGATTCAGTCAGGGTAACGTGAAATGGTCGCGACCTTCAAGTCTCATACCATAGTTTTTAACCTTCTTCAACCGCAGCATCCCTTGGTCCTAGAGTGAAATACCACCTACTGGTATCCATTTTGAGGGGAAATACAATTTTAATCTCAAACTAAGTGTTCTCGTGAATTATAACAAAGACAAGACAGTACTTTTCTCATTTAAATAACAATCTACCGTATTTACGCATGTATAGGCCGCAGCACAATTTTCAGACAGAAATTATAGAAAAAATAATTTTCTTGGAATATTATTTCAGGAGTATTACACCCTGTATTACTAATTATGAATATAATTTTTTTAAATGAAGTGTGATTTCGAATATTTCGAATATAAGCCCCACACCAGTTTTCTTCTTGAATTTTTGGCAAAAAATGTGCGGCCTATACATGCGTAAATACGGTATTTTTTATGCACATAGAATATCGTACATAAGAGAGTTATCAAGATCTTATTTTAAGCCATCTGACAATGTCTGACACGCATTTCACGCACCCCTGGCGTAGAACCCCTCTATTAGACTCTATGCGTATTGGGCAGACTTGCATGTTTGTGCGTGCTGTTCCATTTCCATGAACGAAGCCCAGTAATCTCCTGGTAAGTCTGGATGCACCATGTGACGATCATTTTGGAGTTGAATTATAACTTTGCTTACTTCAAGAACACGAAGCCGGACCGAGCGAAATACACTAACTACTGTGAGAGAAGAAATATTAGCAAGCTACCTGGGGTTAAACATGAAGACGGGTGCAGATTAATATTTGTTAATCACATGGAATTCAAAGCGTCTCTGCCGTTACGTTGCCAACGCGCTTCAATATTTTCGTGGTTAATATCATATGTAGGGACATAACACTGAGTCGATGGGAGAAGTTGCAAGCCTATGGAAGTCCTTGTTATGGTTGAATGTACGAACTGTCCACATACACCAACACTAATTCTGCATTCTATTCGCCGAGTAATTGGTCTAGAAGTAACGATCCAGACTTGCATTAAGTAAGTGTCCGGTCCAAATCTCGGGTCTGGTTACCGGATATACTGACCGGCTTTCCTTAGTCCCTCCAAGCAAATTCCAGAATCGTGCCTTGTTTGGGCCACGTAGAACCTTCCAAATTATTTGGAATTCATCTGTCGTCAATCATCCTACCTTCCGTAGCTATACAATCCAGATACTAAGCGTAGTAAAATAACCCATAAGAAATAATATGTCAGACATACTACACATAGATACAAGATGGCGCACGAAATGAGCCAGAATTTGATTTAGTATTAAATATTCAACCATGCAATGAACGATGATTTGTAACATTGTAACACTTACAGTAGATCATGGAGATTAGTTCTTACTCTTCCAGGACGCGCTATTGTCACGCTGTTCCTTCTCGTGCGCCAGTTTACACAAGATGGCTGACAAAGGAAGACTGTCTGTAACAAAACGCATAAAAACATTGTTGTTCATTGCTAAAACAAGAAGTGCTGGGGGTCACACACAAATATATCAATTGTCTGGAGTAATAATAAGGGCTGGTGCAGGTTAATCTCGACCCACAGACATTCTGCACAGAACATGGGCTTCACCTTACACCTTGTCAGGTGTAGGGGTGACTGTCAAACGGGGTATGGATTGGATGATCGGATTTATTGACATGTTATACACGTCACTCATAACTAGAAGTAATACAGCACTACCTTTATTCTCCGCTTTTTACAGTTCACTGCTGCAAACACTAGACTCTACTATCCGTGTACTGGCAACGGATTTCAACACAGGAAATATAACAGTCTCAATGATGCTAAAGCACATATGAAGTCTTCTTTGCACATCCTAATTCCTTTCTTACCATTTCTTATCTGTCATCTGTGGCTGCCGTTTGAAGTGACTCCCTCAGTTTACTCAGCAGGTCTGAGATCCTCGTTATATAGCCTCGGGACGATCCCAAAAGAAAACGTTTCCTAACAATTACTCGACTGTTACAGAAGCTTGTTTACTTCGCCGTTGCATAGAAACGGCAGTTCCTCTATTGTTGCGTGCTTGTCCATTTCCACAGGAACCTGGTTACCGAGTCGTTGCCTAACAGTGTACTATTTCAGCTGTCAGGCGTCATGTCACAATATTTTAAACGTCAGTATTACAGAAAACGGCAGATAACTGAGCAGAGTGACATGCTAGAGGATGAAGGCCGAGGTTTGATTCCCGGTATGATCAATTATTTACGTCATCGTCACGACACTCCCCGTCCACGCAGTTTCTAATTCTGTTCCGCAGGTTGTATCGAGAAGAACAAAGGGGCGTGATAGCAATGCTAACAACTTCTCCTCTTTTAATGAGCAGATCTACACTGCAAACAATTTTACTTCCAATTCCTTTACATGCCTAGTAACGTAATGCTTCAGCAACACGGAACCGTTAATAGGCAATGGTTAACATGAATCTACGAGTATTACTTTTCCCACATAAGAGCAAACGAAATCGCTGTACTTGTGTCAGAAAGCTGTGAAAGAGAAATATCATTCTCGTGTACGGGAGACTAAAAATATTGTGACATGTTGCGCAAAGGAGAACTCCCCCACCAGCAGTGACGTGGCGGGTGAGTCAGCGCTCCCCTCCCCCTCCTCCGCACGGTAACGTAACGGTGACGCAACAGGATTGTGAGAGACGACGGTAGTAACAGCGGTTACTACCGCTAGCGTTGCTAGCAACACAGCGCCAGGCAACAAGGGTGCTTGTTACGTGGCCGTTTTCTGTACTGTCCGATCGAGGCTACATGAGGCGCAGCGAAGGCTATTCACAGTTAGTCCTGGAGCTACCTACGAGTCAGTCCTCGAGCTACCTCCGAGTTAGTTCCGAGTTAGCCAGCAACCAATCAGTTGTATCTTGGCATTTGGAGGGTAGTATTTGTGATACTGCAGATAGCAGTAATCGTAAATCTGTAATTTGGGTGATTGTAAGTGCAAATGTGAAACAAAATTCGCTATATCAAATACATCGTGAAGTTATTTGTCGCGATATACGCCCGATACGCGACAATATCAAGGACAGAGTACAATAATGCAAGACGCAAAACTAACGAGCTATCGCACAAATTCAAAGCTGTATTACGAGCACAGCCTCCGAGAGTATATCATGGTAGGCAGTGAGATACGTCAATATGTCAATATTCGAGAGGGAGATGTAACTGTACAATATTACTTAGAAGCTAATGAAAAAGATGCATCACACAGAAAGAGTCTATTCCAATATATGGTAAAATATACAGCAAACATAAACTATGTATGCAAGTAATATTTAAAGTTCAAAAGCAGTAATTATCAGCAACGTTCAACCGTTAATGGAGCTAAATTAGAAATAAACTGCAAAATTAAAGTACTTCCTACACCGACCAGCCAATGTCAACAAGGCATAGGTACTTGATGTTGAAGTTGTTTCGTGTACTAGTTCATATTTCTTCTTCTTTTCTGCTTCTTTCTTTCGTATTATGCGCACTGGCCTGTACCCATCACAATTAATTTCGAAATGTGGATCTTATAAACATAGGACTACTTGGACAGCCCTGTTGAAGGACGCTGCCCATATAGGAAAACACAAACACAGAAGAAATGCGGGGAGAGATCCATGCTTAGAGTTGGATTCGAAACAACTATCGCAGTGTTTGAGGGGACAAAGGAATTCGATACCTTAGCTCAAGCGACCACTGTTATCGGCTACTTCATATTTCCTACACGTAAAACTGAAGTCATGACATGCGTACCGCTACAGATGAAACTATGATTTCATATGAATGTTATATTAAACAGTCTGAAACAGCCTGTCAAGACTTCGAATAAAAATAATAGATATTATGCCACTGGAGTTAAAACAGAACGAATGCTATGCGAATCGAGTGTATTCTGCAAATCGCGTTCAGAACAAAACTTCATCTGATGCATCGATATGGAAAATCGGCTTCGTTTTCACAAACGGAAAAATGCAAAGATTTACTCGTAATTCCGACAGGCAGTTTTTGTAAATACGCAGCAGAGATATTTATTGTAAAACTAACGAAGTGAATTCCGCTGGAATGGATAACTGTAAACAAACACTGCTGCTCAAATTCATGCACGATGTGTCTTCCTTCCGTGCTTGAGTAGCCTCTCATTATAAATTTATGAACTTTATATACATATGGAATATTTCGATGGACACAAATCGATAACTGGCTACTCATTTTCAGAACAAATATCGCGCACCATGTATTTTTACAGTAATTGGTGATGCGATCCTCAGCAACAAACATTAATTTCGTTTATGTAGTCAGTTATATACTGCGCCGTACTAACTGTCGAGTTTGAACGTGTTAACACTAGAACGGCGACGAACAGAACTGGCAGGAGACGGTAACAGCCTATTTTGATATGCCATTTCGTCATTCGACTGACGGGATTCAGGATAGTGCGTTGCAACCAGCATCAAAACAGAATTCCTCCAAAACACGAAAGAGCCGTTCATTGCCATAATACCGCGATCCAGCTTCCGCTGTTCGGATGCTTGTTGCTTCGCCATAAAGGACATGTTGTGAAGGATATGTTTCATCAGATCTTTCAATTTCTCATGAAATATTACCACAAAATCCTACTGTGTCATTTGTGCTTTAGAGTATATTGTTTTAGTTACATCTGGGATCTCCTCCTCCCCTCCTCCTCCTCCTTCTTCTTCTTCTTCTTCTTCTTCTTCTTCTTCTTCTTCTTAGTCTAGTCCTGTTTCTCCCACTTGGAGCATAGGACATCCGTGAAGCGCTTCGTTTCACTTCAGTTTCTTAATATAAGACAGTTGGTAGGGCTCCACAGACGGGGGTTCAGCCCATCACAAGGCCGCTACCTAACACATATAGATATCCATGCCTTGAGTGAGATTCGAATCCCAGTGTTAGAGTGGGCGAAGACATTTCATGCCTTAGACCACGCGGATTTAGGTAACGTAAACTGCAGCAACTGCATTCGTCAACTTAGGCGCCTCTGCAACAACGTAAGAAACCTTAGCTTATAATTTTGGTTTTGAAGTGAAGTTGAATTCATTATTCATTCCGCAAGTCTTCCTGCTGGAAGTGTTCTTATTACTCGTATGCAAGTACAGAAGTGAGCATCCCTTGAAATGTCTCTCCGACTCTGAATAATTAAACTCTTCTGTAGCTGTACCAGAGCGTGAACCGAAAGCGGCACATAGAAATATAAGACATGTCACTACAACATATTCCTCCTCGTTGTGTAAGTACTGCACTTAGAATCAGTGATTCAGAACCATCCTTGCACTACGTCAGGGTCAACATCACTGAAACACAGATTGATTCCGAGGGCTTTTCAAACTGAACAGCTTAAATAATGTTGAACAACACAGCAAAGCGACTATGATACGAATATGCAAGGAGACTGCTACAGCCTCTTTACACATACTAATTAATCAGACATTCGCTATAAGAGAGTGAGACATTTCGCATGAAGCAAACAATAAAATTCATAGATGTGAAACAATGTGTACCGACCCTGATCATGGAGAGAGAATTAAGCTCCGAAACATCGGTGTTTAGCTTAAACATGACTTGCCTAATCCACCAAAGGATATGAGTGAGTATAGACACTGATAAACAGAACACTGAAACGGAAAGATGTAAATAGAATATGTTAACTGGATCTCTTGTCATCAAAGCAGGGCGTTTCCATTTTACAATGGGGAAGAAGGGTTCCAAACATCTCGGGTAGGTGCGAACACGCAGTCGCGGACAGCGGACGCAGTTGGGTTCTTCAGTTTGCTGTTTGGCCTAGGGCAAAGCTAGCACTCCACATAATGCAAAAACCATTATTTTATTAAATGTTACAAAGGGCCTCGCATTTTAGTGTTTTTTAAACACTTCAGGGTTTCAGAGAGGGCGAGATACTTTTGCTGTGGGTGAGTGACATGGTTTCAAGGCCTCTCTAGCACTGATGTGGGTAATTAGGCAAAAAAAGAGATAAACTAGAAATTCTATGAACTCAGAACTGTTTTCCATACTTTTCGATAGAATGAAACCTGAGTTACGAACAGCCATAAAAAAGACAAAGTTGTCCACGTGCTTAACTAATTAAGCACTATGCCATGAAGACGCATGGGGGAATGGATGTATAGACCCTCGTTTTCTTGTCCTCGGCACTAGTTGGAGGTGTGGTCAGCTTTACGTCCCAGCCGATTTGCCCTCGGGGAAAGAGCCCCTGGTATCCATCGGATAGGAAGCTGGATAGGCACCAGAGCCGGCCTGGACGCTGCGGAGAAATGAAAACTGCTGCTCCCACCGGGACTCGAACTCCAATTCCTTGGCCGTTCAGCCCGTAGCCAGTCGGAATACCGACTGCGCTATCCCTGCTCTTACGAACGAGCTATGGATATTAAAATTGTATCAAGTGCAGTGTAGATTAAG